AAAATAAGCTCACTTTGTTGGTGGGGAAAGCCAAAGCCGATTAGGATAAACCAATGACTAAGCGTAAGTCTTCCAAACTAATTACACAGTTCACCATGTGAAGTATAATTGGGAGCCTCCAGATGCGGCCCGCTCTGCTTTCACAGGAGTTATATAAAGTGCGAATTACCTAGCGAGCTCGGCACCGAGCAGCCCTCTCATCGAGGTGAGCAGCTGAAAGGTGCAGAACTGCTCCATCCGGGACGAAGCCGAGAATTCATTAATTTAAAGGCCTCTTTTTGATCTCGCAAATCCTATAAGTGAGAATTTAAGAAGGAGGGGCCTACGGGGAGAAGGGAGGAAGCCCTGGCACTTGGAGTTGCTTTGATCCCAGGGCTTTTTAATTACCACGCTGGGCTCGTCCGGATGGCCGTGCAGGGGGAACGGAGCAGAACAGCCCGACGGACGGTCTCGGTCTGTATGTGCGCATCTAGAGCCCTGTTTACGTGCCATTTTTCGGAACGGTCTGTATACATCGTTCCTGTAGGCATGAAATCGTCAGCACAGGTAACGTCCACTAGGAAACCTGAAGCAGTAAAATAAATTGCCATAGATCAACGTTCTCGACAAATGAACCAAACCTGCTCCCTCTGAGGATGGGGCTGCCCAGTGGTAAAGTGGGAGATGAGGTTTGATAAATGCTGAAAATAAGTGACTCTCCAGGTTACATGATCTTGGACAACTCACTGACCTTTCTCAACATCAGTTTCGTCCTCGCCTAACAGATATTTCACCTACCTCACTTGACATCCCTGAGAACCAAATTTTTAAGTGCATTAAGAGGCGTAGCACAAAGCACACGACCCTCTAATTCAGAAACATCAGAACACCGCAAGAGAAGTTCATGCTAAAATCCGAACTTCACAAACTCTGCGTCTTCACTGAGATCTAGTACATGTAATAGGAAATTGGAAATACTTTATACTCATAGGATGAAGATTCCAGTTTATAAATGGTAGCTTCTTCCCAGTAGAGAGTCTTTCATTGCCCCTTGATCTTGAAGTGCAGAAATTAACTCTACCACAGTTACGACTGTTTTATTTGTTACATCGTGCTCATGACTGCCAATGACATCTTGTCTTGGTTACAGTCTATAGGTACCGTAGATACCTATCTATCCATCCACCTATGTATGTTTATTTAAACACTTTCTAAATTATTCCATTTTCAAGCTTGAAACCAACCATAGGAATAATCTAGTACAGAGGTTGGCAAACCACAGCCCATGGGACAAATGGGGTCCCAAACCTGTTTCCATAAAGTTTTATTGGAACTCAGCCACACCCAATGGTTTATGTGTTGGCTGCAGCTGCTTTCTCCACGTGGCAGAAGTGAGTAGTTGTGACAGAGCGAAAAATATTTACTATCTAACCCGAGTTTTCCACGCCCTTCCCTCAGGTGAGAAACTGAGGCCAGGAAAGAAGTGGCCTGTTCAGGTGCCTGCCTCGGTGGTATCACCACGCGGTCATGCCCAGTACAAGGGTCTGGGGCACCTCCTCTTACCTTCCTCCAATGAGGGCACCAGAACAGCTACCCAGGGGTGAGGACGGCACCCAAGGCAGCAGAGTCCTTACGCCGACGGCCGCACTTCATGATCTCATCTTAAATATAAACAAGCAATGACATCCCTAACCCGGGGGTCAGGGGGAGGGGGCGTAAAGCTTCTGGGAGGAAGGTGGGAGAAAAGCAAAAAAGGGTTTACAAGCCTCCAACTTGAGTCATTTCAAGCTCTCAATGTGCCATCCTGCACCCACTCCTCTTACAGTAATGACATGTTTAGACTCCCTGAGCTCAGAGCCCCAAGACATCGATCTTACCCATCTTGATCGCCACCTGAAATAAACAGCCAGAACAGCTGCCGCCTCTGGCAAGACGGGAAGAGGAAGAGGAAAGAAGCCTGACAACGAGGGAAACCTAAGAAGAAGGTGGCAAACTCTGATGGAGCCTGTGGAAAGATGGACAGTTCTAGACTTGGAGGAGGTAGGGTGTGAATTCTGGCTGTTATACTGCCTTACCTGGGTGACCTTTGCTGAGACTTCACCTCCCTGACCTGTACTGTCCACCTTTGTCAAATGGGCTGGATGACACCAAAATCCGCTGTGCAGAATCAATGAGGCCATGTAGGCTCAGGTTCCTGGCACTGTCCCTGGGCACCCAGAGGGGACACCATTTTTCCTTCTCTTTTGCACCCTCCCCACCCTACATCTATCTTGGGGGTGGATCAGCAGCTGGAACGGGCCCAGGGTTTGGGTTCTATTATCAGACAAGCCTAGAGGGGAAGTCTGTGAACTTTCATAAGGCTGTGACCTTGAGTCAAAGGTGCAGTCCCACCAAGGCTCCATGTAGCAATCTACAAAATGGGCAGCACACCCACCAGCATCCCAGAGAAGAATTGAATGAGATAACATAAGTCAAGGGCCGGGCCGTATCCAACACTTAACACGTACTCACTAAATTACTCACTGAATGACACCTTACTAATGTGCAGTTAACCAACTGAAAAGAGCCCCTAACAGCTTGACACAGTCGGGAGTGTGTGCCTATGCGTGAGTATACTTTATGCAAGTGTGTGTGCGTGTGTTTTCCATCTCCTTCAATCAGGTTGTCGATTTACTGTAATTCCTTTCACAGCCACTGGATTTACTCAGCATCCCTGAGGCCCAGTAGCAGGGTCTCCCCTCCTTTGACCATTCTGGAGTCAAATGAATTATACCAGAATCCTGAGAGGTGGTGGGCGCTGCCCAAGGGAACACACATCACACCAGCCGCCCGCCGAACGAGGAATAAGCTATTCTGAAGACAGACCCAGATAAAGCACAGAGCATATGTACGCAACAGGCCACTAACACATGACTATACAGAGCGTGAGGGTTGTGAGACATTCAACGGCCTCCTTAGTCCTTTAATAAAACACTTGATAGGTTTATGCATCCTGCAGGAGTCCGCCGACGTTACTGCAAAATTAACTGAGCGGCTTCAGACCCGGCGAGTGCCAAGCCAGGGGAGAGTCTGTGGCCGCCTCCCAGTCAAGAGGACGGCTGTTCCCAGGGCAGGGATGGTCACTGCTGTGGGCTCGCACCCCCCCACCAACTGCCGGTGGACTGAGTCACAACGCTAAGTGTTAAGGAAGAACAATGGAAAGACAAAGAGAGAGAAAGGAGAGAGAGAGGGAGAGACCCAGAGCTGGGCATGTGCGGAGGGGTGGTGAGTATGAGCCTGTGTGGAAAATTCTAACAGCCCATCTGGGCAGCATCAACTTCCCCGACACCCGCAAATAGGCCCATGAGATTCCAAGGCAGGTTACGGCTCGAAAAAGAAATCCCACCTCATGTTTGCAAACACTGCCTCCAGCCTGGTTTTAAAGGCAGAACGGTAGTAAAGAGGGTTCGCACTCCAGAGCCTTCCATTACGCAAGCTGGATTTGTCTCATTAAATTATTTCCAGTCTCTCTCCCTGGGCAGGGCGGGGCTGGGGGATGGATCAATCCCCCTTAATGCTTTAAATCAGTCTCGAAGAGAAGCGCTATAGTGTACACAACCACCAACACACCCAGTTATTTTTTAGAATCTGCCAGAATGAATCAGCCCCCAACCGGCAATGCCAGACAGTGCCGTGGGGAAGGAGTCTTTCATAACCGACCCAGAAGGGCAGCTGAGTGCCATTCCAAACGCAAGGCTGGGCTGGAGGAGGTTGGGTTCTCTGAAGCATGGTCTCCCATCCATGCAGAAATTGATTAATACCAGAGACAGGAAAATCTCTATTTTGAGGCTAAACAGAAGTCACAGCACTCATCCCAGAGGGCAGCTCACAACTGGACACTCCTGGAGATGGGATCATAGCTGCCCATTGCCTTGGGCAAACAAATGAAAGCACAGAACTTTCAGACTGGCCAGTGGGCGGCAATGCCTTTGTACCACCCAGGGCAAGTGTGACAGGTGTCCTGGGGCAGGTGAGTGGCAGAGCTTAGAACAGCCGCGGGGTTTTCTCAGGATGCCTCGGCAGCCCTCTGCCACATCAGTCCTTCGGTGGAGGCGGGAGACACATGACGAGACACACAGAAGAAAACGATCCCACACCTGTGCTCCCAGGACAATGTCCACAGCTGCTCAAAGATGCAGGAGGCGTAGGCCCTGTGCACACACTCACCTGCCAGCCTCCTGGGACACAGGAGCTGGAGGACGCCAGCAAGGCTCAGCGCCCAGCAAGCTGCCCTGCTGGAGCCCTGGGGCGACAGAGTCATTGGAGGAATGTGTCACCCTGGGGCAGAACCCACTCTCCAAGGCAGTGGGTCCCCCCCCCACCAACTAGAAAGGGGCTGAATTAATCATCCGTGGTTACGTGCCCTGTCTGTCTGTGTGACTCTGTCTGTCACACACACACTCCCACACTCCACTTCCTGACTCATCTGTGGCATTCTGAGTTGCTCCCAGCCCGTTCCCGCAGCACAGCCCAGGGGATAATTGTACTGCTGTCTCACCGACATTCTGACAGGTACGAGCCCAGCATCTTTCCTGAGTTTCCTCGGGCGTTGGACAGGGGAGAGTTCAGCCGCAAGGGCCCCAGGGAGCCTCCTCTCTCAATGCATTTTCCAGAAGGGCACAGAATGAAGCCCAGTGCCAACTCTCAGGCCAGCTTCCGCAGGAGCTCCTGCCCTGTGACTCACAGCCCTGAATCCCTCACCAGGAGCTGCCACCATCAGCTCCCAGCCCAGGCCCCACGTGGCCGGCAAATGCCAGTGAATCGGCACTCAAAGGCCACTCTGTCTGCTCCTGCAGGCACGTGGGGTGCCGTGCCCACCGCAAGCCGGACTCCTCCATCTCGGCTCCTGCCAGATTTCATTTACATCTTGACGGCCGAGTCCAAGGACAAGGTTCTTGAGGACACAGCTGTGGCAAAGGCAGGGGCCACGGCAGCCACCTCGAAGGACCGAGCAGGCTGCCCCACCTCAACGCGCCGCTTACCTTGCCAAACTGCTCGAAATACTGCTTCACATCTTCCACCACCGTGTTCGCAGATAATCCGCCTACAAAGATTTTCTTTGTTCTTGTGACCATCTGCAAGAAATGACAAGAGGAAGACATGGGTTAACTAGGTTATCTGAAGCCACACTCACCGAGATGCTGAGCGAGCCACTCTCCACGCTTCTCTAGAGAGGAAGGCGATGTTAGGAATATATCAGCTGCACCAAGCGGGCCCTGTGGGCGTCTCAGGATACCGGAGACCATCACTCGGGATACCTCAGGCCTTCAGGCCGCAACCCGAAAGCTCGAGTTTCATACAGATGGAGAGTGAACCTCTTTGGCTATAACACACGGCCTCACTGTGATGTTAAGTCACACGTCAAAGCTATTTTAAACCTAAGAGACGTGAACAAAAGAGAACTACGTGCATAAAGGTCTGCTGCCCTGAAAGTACCCATAAAGTGTGTCCATAAGAAACTTGCACATAACTCAAACCCACGTGCAGACCGCCTACACCGAGCCGTTCTGGGTGCTGGCTTATGTCTGCCAACAGGACAGACAGGACCTCATACACGGGGACCGCCCTGCAAGCCCGGCCCCCAGGGCTCCTTCCCCTCTGGATGTCTCACCATTCACCTTGATCTGTCCTACAGTCAGCCGAGCGCAGCTGGTCCCCAGGCCTCCACACCTCTGTCCACGCAGGTCCTGCCCCTTGGGAGACCTCTCCACTCCTGCACCTCCCTTGCCAAGTTCTGACTTTCCTCCGAGATCCAGTGCCCTTCTCCCAAATTCAAAATACCTGTGTAGTCGCCCCACCCAGAAGCTGTTTCTCCTGCTTCTGAACCCCAGACGCTGCGCCCCTCTGCCTCTCACACACTCACTACTTTTCACCTCGCACTGAAGTGAGTGATAATCCTGCCTTCGTTCTAACCTCCTCCCCCAGACCGAGGGCTCCTGACTCCTCTCGGTACCCCCCGGGGTGCAAATACAGGGCCAGGCACACAGAAGTCCACAGCCAAAGTCTGGTGGATGCAAAAACAAACGAATTTCTGCAATGGCCACATTTCAGAATCCCACCAGCCCTAAAGCAAAGGGAGGAGGGAACTCGATGATGTCCACTCTTCAGAGTGGGACCAATAATCTTACCTGGAAGAGTGAAAGACAATAAAATACAATAAATTTTATTCGGAAGTTAGGCTGTGTGGGGTTTGCGGTTGGTTTTTTCTTTTTTTGTTCTTCTTTAATGTCAAATAAAAAATTTTAAAACTCAGTGGATACAGGGTCTCACAGTTTGGTTGCATATAATAAAAGCACAACGTCTTAACTCAATGGCTAGATCTTGTCACAATATATAATACACACGTACATCAAATCATCACATTGGATGCTTTAAATATCTTACCATTTTATTTGTTAATTACACCCCAATAAAGCTCTGGGAAAAAATGTTTGATGAGAACATACAAAGAAAAGCAAGACTAAAACCCAAAAATAAATGAATGAGAGGAATCTGAAAACATTAAAAAAACAAAAAAGAAACAGCCACAATGTCACACATGTCTATTGTAAGTCGATGCAGGGGGTACTCCCCTGGTGGCACAGTGGTTGGGAATACGTCTGCCAATGCAGGGGACACGGGTTCGAGCCCTGGTCTGGGAAGATCCCACATGCCGCGGACCAACTAAGCCCGTGCGCCACAACTACTGAGCCTGCGCTCTAGAGCCCGCGAGCCACAACTACTGAGCCCACGTGCTGCAACTATCGAAGCTTGCGCGCCTAGAGCCCCATGCTCCACAACAAGAGAAGCCACCGCAGTGAGAAGCCTGCGCACCACATCGAAGAGCAGCCCCTGCTCACCTCAACTAGAGAAAGCCCGCACGCAGCAACAAACACCCAACGCAGCCAAAATTAAAAATAAATAAATAAATTTATTTAAAAAAAAAAAGTTGATGTAGGTTGCCTAAGTATGGGGGCCGTGGCTGCCTGGATCACGTATCACCGAGTCTCCTGACACACGTGTGGAGAGAATGAACCAACCAACCCACTCCCAACAGTAGAGACTCAGTGGAGTGACACCTAAGGGCACAGCGGTCCCAGGCAGGCTGTTCTAAGGAGTGTGAAAGGCTCTGGAAACCTGGCTTCTGTGTCTAAGTCTGGATAGGACCCTGGACAGGACTCGTCTGAGGGCTGGCTTCTGTGCTCTGCACGTGAAGTCCTGGACCAGAGCTCCCTGCCCCGCCTAACCCTGAACTCCCCCGAATCTGTGAGCATGGTGGGCCCGACAGGGAGGCTCCCAGACCTCAGGGACCTCACACTTTAACTCAGCAGCTCCCAGAGGGGACACGTGCCACCTCAGCCCCCTGACTGACCCCCGACCTGGAATACCTTTGTAGTGGACATCCTGTGCTGTCCCAGGAGGACACTGTCCTGGTGACTCATACAGCTCACTGGCCATCATGCAGTGGTTTGCATGTGTGTTTAAAACTGTTATTTACTATTTTTTCATCTCTTTTCAGATGAATGAGAGATTTGATGAGATAATGTACATGAGGACATTCTATGAAGATCCCACCAGTGTCCACACCTACGAGCTCCAAGAATCTCCGGTTAACTGGTGGGCATCTTATCCAGCTCCTTGTTCATCTCCCTCCTTATCTGTCTCCCTGCTTATCCCTCAGTCTAGGGCCCTGGTGGATCAAGGTCACCTTCACGGTGACGCTCCATCAGGCCCTCTCCAGATTTAAATCTCTCCCTTACTAATCGCCAAATTTTACTCATCTAATTTTCCTAACGCATTCATTCAACAAATAGATTAAGTGCAAGGTGCTGGAACTCACATTCAAATACAGTGTGGAAGTTAATCCCCTTTAAAATGGAGATACAATAATTAGCCTACCACACAAGGTTCCTGCTGCAACTAAATTAAATAACATATACCCAGGGCTTTCCTGGTGGTGCAATGGTTGAGAATCTGCCTGCCAATGCAGGGGACAAGGGTTCAAGCCCTGGTCCGGGAAGATCCCACATGCCACAGAGCAACAAAGCCCGTGCGCCACAACTACTGAGCCTGTGCTCTAGAGCCCGCGAGCCACAACTACTGAGCCCGCATGCTGCAACTACTGAAGCCCGTGCACCTAGAGCCCGTGCTCCGCAACAAGAGAAGCCACAGCAATGAGAAGCCCACGCGCCGCAATGAAGAGTAGCCCCCGCTCTCCACAAGTAGAGAAAGCCCGCGCGCAGCAACACCAAAAATAAATAAATAAATTTACAAATAACATATGCCCAAGTGTCTGGTGGGACAGCGCGTAGATGATAAATAAATGGTCACTAGCTGAATCCAAAGTCAGCTACTAAATTCATCCTTCAAGCTCAGGAGAAACGTGCAGCAGAAAGATACCTTCCACCAAACACTTTGATAAATCAACTCTTATTGCCCATTCTCTTCCACTGTCATTTCAAAAACACTTTCCTACATCTCTACGTGATTTCAGATGGGCAAAGACTCCCAATAGCTTCATTTTAGATTTTTCATTCCTTTTTTTTAACCCCAGCCAAGCAATTAAATATCTATAAAGAAACACTAATGTGATCTACAAACATGCACTCGTGGAGTTCTCAACTTAAAGAAACTCTGGAGAGGTATTCCATAAAATGAACCCCACGGTCTCATTCAGACATTGTGTAGAGCCAGGTGGGTATAGACAGCAGGCCCTATATATATTCCAAACGTTCCCATGGACGCAGAGAATTAAACGACCAACGTGTCTTCATTCCAAATAACAGAAGTCAACAGAATGTTCATTCCCCAGTAACTGGTAAAAAGAGAAGGTCCCCTCTTACACCCTCCACCGTTGCCCTACAGCCGTAAACCTGCCAAGACAGAGCCCTAAATGCTGGGGAAGACATCCAGCTATAAATCTACACAGTCCCAAAACAGTCTTTAAAACACTTCTTTTAAAACAAGGATGAGAAATTCCAGGCCCCAGACAATGTGGCCAAAGTGTCCAAGTTACTAAAACATCCTCTTCAGGAACCAGCTCAGATATACAGATAGATCCCCACTCTTCAGCAAACACTAAAAGGAGGCTGGTTTAATCAAAACCTTCCAAACGTGAAGAGGCCAGTGGGAAGATGGGCAACACTTGGTTAGCTGCTCACTGACGTCTCAGCTTCAGGAGAGGACAGCATGGCTGGGGGGTGATGGGGCTCTGCAGGTGACCCCTCCCGCCAGGGGCGCTGGGGAAAATGGGAGTGAGTTACTTTGGGAATTCTGATGGCATCACTGCTAAATGGGCTGTGCACTGCTCCATGGTTTGCATTCTGGAGAGGGACGCAGGGGGCAGGCAGAGGATGCTGGAATCACACACACTTCCCTCCGTTTCCCTCCCACCTCCATGGCTCCATAGGACGCAGGAAGGGGGCAGCATGGGGACGTGGTGTCCAAGGTCTCAGTGGACTAAACGGAGGTCCTCAAATTCCCATCAATACTGTCAAGGTCTCATTTCTGTATACATGTGTGCGTGCGTGCGTGTGTGTGTGTGTGTGTGTGTGTATTGGGGGTACCTCTCTATTCCCAATCCTTGAGTCTTGGCTTCTCTGTGCCCCAGGAACCATAAAGCACCCCAGACCTTTAACCCTCTCTGACCCTGGAAACAGCAAGCAGGACCAGTTACACACTGGCCCCCGACTCTATCGCCCTCTGTGTTATAAAGTCCTCTCTGCCCACAGTGGAGAGAGCCACCTGTGTTTTCTTCCTGTGCTAGGCCCTTCGGGTAACTGTTTCCCAACCCACAGCCTTCACACCGACACACAGCTACTGCACACCAAAAGGCTCAGGGCCTCCACAGCACACTTAGATGGAGAGAGCCACCCATCTGCTCCAGAGAGAGCTCAGTCCGAAATCCACAAGGAAATGGGTCTGAAACCTCCTTGGCTTGGAGTTTTTGGTGGAAGGTTGCACCCAGAGCGAGGGCCCTACACCCTCAGGGACAGCCCCTCCCCTAGCAGATGCCTCCTTTTATGGTCTAGGGCGGCATTCTGGGAAGGCGTGTGTGTTGTGTTTGTGTGTGTGTGTGTGTGTGTGTAGCACGCAT